CCCCAAAACCCCAAAACCCCAAAACCCCAAAACCCCTTCTAGAAAGATTAGTTAAGTAACAGAATTTAAAAGAAAAATTTCAAGTGCAAAGATTAATTAATTAATTTAATACAGTTTGAGATAATTTATGGCTTCTGCTTAGCAATATCAGTATTTATGAATCAGAATCTAATCATATGATAATATAAGTCATTATTATATACACTATTATACTGCCTTCTGTTAAGAAGCCTACGGTTTGTTTAAATTTAGTTTTCTGGCTAGGAAGATTGAACTCCAAAAAGTCTTCTAATGTATGAGTTGTTTTAGTTATTGTTGTTATTAACGTTCTAATTGTTTTATGAAGAACTGATGGCAGTTCTATTATTCGGTATTTCATTTGATATACCATCGCTGTTTCTGCCCTACTTCGATTTATAGTTTTTAATCATTACATGAGTGTTTAGAATATCATCACATCTACAGAGTGGACACTCTGTTTTAAGCTTCAGCCATTAAGAAAGGCATTATTTGTGATAAAGAGTGTTGGCTTTATTTCCGCATGATAATTTAATAACCTTAGCCTTAGTATCAGTTAGTTTTTATGTTGAATCTTTAGAAGCTATTTTCTGCATTTTACATGGACTACGATTTAGGATATCTCCTAAACATATCAGACACACTTAATCACGCATTTCAGTATTAGAAATTACTTCATTAGCTGGGATTTCAGGCAATTTTTGCATTAATTCAATATGGAGCTGCTATCTTTAATTTTCAAGGTCTTCATCTTAATCAAGAATTTACATTACTTAATTAAAAATGTCTTGGGGTTGGGAGGCTATCAAATACAGTTTGGGCAATTGATTTTTGAAAAAATTTCTTTAGCGTTTAATATTGTAGAAGTGTAAAAGTAACCTTAGAAATACGAACAGCGCTACAAGTTCAACATAGTAATAATTTTTAGGCGAATTTATTATCTTTAGAGTTTTTATTGAGATCATAATTCCAAAGTAGACTATCAGAGACAATGAAATTAGCTAAAATAGGAAAAATGCTATCGCTAGTAAATATCTTCTTTTGTAAACTAAGATAACGAGTTTCTGGTGGAGTTCGTAACATTTCTGCGATAACATAAAAAATATCACGTCAATAAATATGGTAAATGATGAGGTCACATTGAGATTAGCTACTAAATCCTCTTCCTTCAGCTCTTTATTGATCATACCTTCAATAAAAACACCTCCAAATACAATCTGAATCAGAGATATGATGAAAATGAAGATAAACTCATGTATTGATTTCTTGTTATAAGTATTGACTGTTCTAGTGAGTTGCTCTAGGTTTTCATTATTGATGTTCATAATTTCTTAATCTTGAGAAATTATTATCTTGCTAAGCTTATAAACCTACGTAAAACTTATTAAATTCCAAATTTATTAGCTAAGATATTAAGCCAAATATAATATAAGTTATAACTATTCGTAAAATACTTTATAATGGGTATTCATGGGGTTTTGGGGTTTTGGGGTTTTGGGG